ACTTCGATAAAATTTACCATGGACATATTAAGCGCAAACGGTAAATACGTAATATAATGTTACGAAAGCCAAGAGTACTTGATACGACTGTGAAATGCATATTTGACAAATCTCTTTCTCTCCCCCCCCCCCCCTTTCTCTCTCTCCTTACTGCTTCTCCCTCCCGCCGCCATTATTTGAAGTACTAAACTGAGCGAAGCTTATTGTCGCCAGTGGTAATTAAACAAAGGGAAGTTATTTTTTAAGTATTAAAGACATTCTTTCTCTAATCACCGTGATAATAAGATTTATATTAGGTACTGCCAACAAACTACGTATTAATTTTTTCCATAACTTTCTATTACATTTTCCATATTATCGGATTAACGAAGTGGTTGCCGATCTCTGCGTAAATTTCCACAGACCTTCTTTCAAGTCTTCAATCGGTGTTTTTTAACAACAATGTTGTTTTTCAACTTTTTTTCATTCAAAAGTTCCGCGTTCAAAAAAATACCGGGATGCATGCCTCTAGTTGCGAAAAATAAATATCGTGAGATGTATTGATTTTACGTTGAAAAAAAAGCATACATTGCGTTTGCTACATTTATATCTATAAAGTATCTGATTTTTATTAGTTGAAAAGTGTCAAGAACTGTCGACACGATATTACATGTTATTCATTTACAAAGCATTTAGCTGCCGTTATATTAAAGCGATAACGATTTATTGGAGAGGAACCATATGCAGCGATTTATCAAGTGCTGTTATTATAGAAAGATATTTGTACGAGATATAAAGCAAGTTAATAACTTCCAACAGCGTAGAAGCAACGATAATGTTTACACATCAAAAAGCTTCTAAATGAAAAAAGATTTCACTATACAACAAAAAATACATAAAAAAAATTCCACGTCACGTCAATCGGTTTCTAAAAGTAATTCAATATCATGGAATTTCGCGTTGCATATTTTTCAAGAGAATTTTTTTTTAGTAACATTTATCAATTACTGTTTTCTATTTCAATTTATTAAGATTGAAAAATTATCTCAAGTCTTCTATTCCCATTCAGAATGATAAATCGATGTGGGACGATAATGCAAGTTGGTCGTGGTCGACCCCTCGTTACACAACTCTAAGGAAGTTAAATCTCGCGTGTTTGTAACAGACCATCGTACTTCCGAAAACTCGAAGCCGAGAGGAAGTTCGAGTTGCCTCTGCAGGAAACTCGAGGAGATGCTGTTGAGCTTTCCATCATAAGGATGGAAACCCTCTTGTCTTTTACATGGTTATTTAAGAGCCTTCAAAGAATAGTGACACGTCATGAACAGCAAGCTTGGCAAGATATACAGTCATCAAAACCTTAAACACGGAGCAAGTGTAGGGAGCATTTTCATTCTCGGTTGCACATGGTCTCAAGAAACTAGGTGGCATTGTCTTCACATATAACCCGTCTTTCAGAGTCTTGAAGGTTCTGAGATGAAATAACGGGTCTTGCTAGCCAAGACATTTTTAATAAACGGTAAATCTGCTCTCTTAAAAATAAATACTATAAATAACGTACTTATAAATAAATACCACGTCACATCCATTATTTTATTAATATAAGTATTAATAAAAGCTCTTTATCTCATTGTGCTTGCTTGATTCACCAATTATAAATAACATCAAGATTAATTGAAGTATCACTTCTTTATTCTTTGATTATATCCTATAAAACCTTAGCGCGAGATAAAAATAAGTCGTAATGATCACACTTCTATCCTTCAGGGATGTCGGAACGTTCTCCTAATGATTTTTCGGACAATTAGCTAGATAACGATTTATCTTGTGTCAAAGCACGGATAGCCGGAGCTCTTACGTGACGCAGAGAATCCCAACGATAACGAAGTAATTGCTACAAGAAGGAAAATCCTGATATTTCTCACACGTCGTTTAGGGAGAATTTCTTTTGTTGCGCTTGTCGACCGCACCAGTAATCCGCTTTGTTAACGTCAACAGAAACGCAAACGTGATTTCCGACCATGTCTCTACAAAAACACCATAGAAGGGTGCCGACGCGAGAAAAGAGTTGATTTCATTATTAAAAGAGAGTTCACCACGATTGCACTTGTTCGTGCAATCAAAATACTGTTTGTTCAATAATATTCGTAATTTGTTTATTGCGATATTAACACATGCCTCGGTGGTCGAATTGGTGAGACGCACGCCTACAGAGAGGACGGTTTGAATTCTGGCTAAGGTTTTAATACTTTTCACAATAAATTTATACTCAGTAAAAAATAAATTGTTAATTTTACCATACATAAAGTGTGAAATTATTATGTTAACATAAATGTAACACTTAAAAATGTTACGAAAATAATAACATATCTGTTTTATGTTAATTTTACGTTGAAATAATAATCAAATCTTGGCGACATAAGAAACTTTTGACATTTAAATACACGATTTTTTACTGTGTAAAATTATTCAGACACTAACATCTTGTCCCGGCTCTCTTAGCCTTCATGTTCCTTCGGATTTGTGTTTAACACATCAGTCTTATGCATTTGATCGTAATTTGATTCTTCCATAAACGCGTATAACGTATCGAATGAAATTACTATCCGCTATCAATTATTACATTATCGAAGGAGATATTGAAACATTTAATTAATAGCAGAGTGCGGGGTTTCATTGTTTTCAACTATATGTATTACAACATTATTAATTATGTTATTAATGTATCTATGAATTAAAAATACATATTTATAAGACTAAGATTTATATTTAACCAACATTTCCAGGATAATTTAATAATAAAAGTTTAATATGTAAAATGCAATAATATATAAATAATATAAATAAATAAAATTTAATATTAAACATTTATTATTCAAACGGTCAAATTATATTGAGCATGAAATATTAATCATTTTGCGAATTATTTGTAAATGTATTTGTAAATAAACTTTTAGTTTAGAAAAAGATTCTGCCTAGACGGTTATTTTACTCAAAATTCAATTGATATATACAATCTAATATATGTATATATTAGATTATATCTAATTTATATAGAAAACATAGATATAAATATTTTCCATGCAAGTTGCATTTAAGATAAATTAATCGCAAATTTGTCTAACGATCTGTAATAAAATTTTAAAGCACTGTAAATAAAATATTATATCGTGCGTTTTCATCAATAATTTCACCGAAAATTGTATTATTATATTTCTCGATTCAATCTGTTTTTGCAACACTGTAATGTCACAATTAATAAAACGAATAATCATTTTCATAAATACAATAAATTTAGCAATATTGTATTAATACATCAGGCGGAGATGAGCAATTTTCATCGCTTACGAGCGAGAATAAACGGAATTAACTGTTTAACAATGGTGGAACAACGTTTTATGTATGGCGTATTTTCCAGGCCGAGCCATAACTCACGTAAGATTTGATCTGACGGTTAATTTCCGCGACGAGAAAGGTGATATGCGGTGGATCATGGGCATCTAGTCAGTTTTTCTAAAAGTTTAATTGGATCCACGGGCAATCCAATCTGACCACATGCGCTCGCGCACGATTCCGATTTTTCCGACTTTTGCGGGAGCAATCTCTCCTCTCCTCTCCTCGCTTCTCGTCCCGACGAAATTACGCGGAAATTTATCTCGCAAAAAGTTGTATTGCCGTGCATCGCTTCAGTGAGAGTAATTGCGTTAATTACAAAGCGATGCGTCCCGTATTTATCTTCGTATCTCACTGTCGAAATGTCTAGCTCATAAAGAATACGTTTTTCAGCCTTGTACTACACAAAAATCTTTCGGTGAACGAGAAAAAAAGATGTTTCAATATGAGATTGTAAGATTAAAATTGATAAAGACTTCTGTCGTGAGTCTTCTTACAAATTTCCTAGCGTATCTCGTCGCGGGAGTTTAATCTTCATTCTTGCATGCACAAATTGAATGTAAAAGAAAAAATGCAAAAAATGCAATTTTTGTAACAAAATAGTTACAAATATCCTAATAAATTTTACACTTCATCTATTCTTTATGGAGCGGAATAAACCCTTAAAAAAAGTAAACATATTTTTCCCTCTAATTTAAGGTCTAATCCTTAAAAAAGTTTCGCAAATAAAGAAAAATTCCACAACGGTGCAGAAGAAAAGCGTACGCCCGCGGGAAAATTAATTTCTTTTTCTTGACTCACGGTACAGTAATCTTTTTCATTCTGTTAATTCATGCCGCAACGCTGCTCACGGCGGAAGAAAAACCACAGATTATTTGATTACTCACAAAAGTATTTGGATTAATTGAGAAGCTGCAGAAGTATTGCTCGGTAACATAATATGATGTCACTGACGCTAAAAAATATTTCTTGCAACAATAGTTTCCCAGCTAATATCTTCCCCACACTAACATCGTCGCAAAGCGACGATGAATATAAATGACAATAGGGAGCGATGCAAGTGAACCGTGTGAATGTTATCACAGCAATTTAAATATGGTATTTACTTTCTCTGTGAACAAAATTTAACGCAATTCTATTCGATCCCCACCGTTCCTTGCACTTTCTTCGGAAAGCAATATTTAAAGTGTTCTCCCGCCCCCTCTTTCTTTAGCTTTCTCTTACTCTCTTTTTTTCGGTGGGATATATCGGAAACTCATTTCTGTCGATAACGACCGACCCTCGAAATCGCGCGGCCGTTTTCCGACAAAGATTTGCGATAACGCCGTCGCTCGATTAGAAAGCCTCACGGCGAATCGCTTACGATAAAATCACCGCGGAGTCCGTCCCTACTAAAAGGAAGACGGGACTGAATATTTAACGAATCCTCCCGGAGATATTCTTAAGGGCCAAAATGGAACTTTAAAGACCCTGTAGATGCGAGAGAAGGGCGGAAGAACGTTTGCGGCAATCGATTCGCCAATTGCGAGGGATCCCGGAGGATATAGCTTGTAAGAGAGCCCGCGGATAGGACTGTCACAATCTCTTCGTGAAACATAATACCATAAAAGAGACTCTTTTCTTTTCAGTGACAAAGCCGGCCAAGGTCACCCCGGTGGAGGACACACAGTCCAAGGAGGATTCCTCCACCATTGAATCTTTAAAACCGTAAGTTACTGACGATATGTAAATTCATATAAAACATTCACTGTATACGTTCGACTAGAATTTTCGTTGTTTTGCGTACGGAAGAAATATTGTGCTTTGAAAGTATCGCGCTAACAAAACTTCATCCTTCTTCAGTAATATATTGCTTATAACAAAATTAAACAAGATAAATGCTGGTTCATTTATATTGTAGAAAACTCGTAGGAATGCTGTTCAATACAAACTTAGAATAATCGTGTACAAAAATTTTTGAACAACCGTCTTTGCTGGTTTAATTGATCCCAGTAGCATCCAAAACGCACATTATTTAAAAGTGCGTTCTTTTTATAAATAACGAAGATTAAATATATATTGTATTATAATATATCGCTTGTAATATAATCCATTGTAATTTTATAATTGATAACATTTCAATTATTACATTATTGTGCACGCATGTACTCCAGAAACATTATTTTATATGATTTATTGCAACTGTGGAAGATTTCTTCGTTTTGTTTAATTTTGAGTTGATCAATTTTTCGAGTGTTTCACATCAGGAATAATATCATACTGTTATGCATATCGTGATATTTTGAATATTACATTACAATAATTAATTACCAATGATCTAATATACAGTATTATTGCATCAAATAATATACACGTAAAATCATTTGCTCTTAGTGATTTTATTAAACCCCAGATTCCTCATTAAATGTCATAATTTGAGTATCCGGTAACCAAATTTAATCACACATTGCATTAAAGTGTATATTATTAGAATCGACAAAATGTTGAAAAAATGTCAACTTAATGGCGAATACCATTGTAAAAACGATCGAAATAGTTTTTGGTAAGTTGTAACAATAAAATCCCGGTATTGCGCTTTTTCACATGGAAGTTTTTCCCAAAGCGTATCCTCCCAAATTGCGCTCTATTTCCATTCAAAGTGATACTTTGAAAGCACAATTAATTCTTGATGAAAGTAATTTGCAACAGTACAATGTTAATCTTACGCTGAAAACTTCAAACAAAAACTTTAAAAGGAAAATATTTTTTAAATGTAGTGAATAAAATACGTAAAGACACAAATTCTATAACTTAAAAATACAATGTTTTCTATCCCCAAAATTTGATACGGCTTACAAGTTTGATTTTTTGTTTTAATACTTCAATGTTACTCAAATTTATTTCGCAAATTTACTTTCATAGTTTATCTACTGTCTTCTTTTCGAGCTCTTTTTCACATTTATCTATATTATCCAATTACATTAATATCCCGTCATTAATGTAACTATTCCCTGCCCTTCACTGCAGTAATAATAGCATTTTCTAACAAACAGAAATTGAATAGTTCCAATGTCCGCGCGGCGAAGCTCAACCCGTTATTTCGCCAGTTGCAATCTATTTGGAAACGTTTCGTCCAAATAACAGTCCATCGGTGTTAATCCGCGCGCTACACTATCTCGTGCGAGTGGAAATTTATTCGCCGGGGACGCACGTGCGAATGAACGCACTGCGGCGGACATTATCCGTGCGGAAGATGACCCGTGAAGTTCACTGTCAGATTAAACGGGCGCGATCCGCCCTTATTTCTATCGTTGTCCGACTCGGTTTGCTCGTGCATCCAGCCGAGCGATATTTAATACGACACGTCCATTAAGGACCGTGGATTGATTCCTCGTTGATCAGCTAAGTAACTCGCGCTCGTTCAAATAACGAACCTGCTGTTCTACGAACGAACACCGGATGTTGTATCGGATTCAACAACTGGTGGTTTTCTAATAACAGCTCTTTCATAACGTAACAAAACTATTTTTACGGTCGTAGAAAATACGCAAGTTCTTTTATAGAAAAATAGAAATACACAACGTAACCAACGTGAATTTTTGGCGTTCAACTTTGTAAAAAATACATATTAATAATATAATCCATTCGATGCAAAATCGTTTCTACCCATCTTTCCTCATTAGGCTTGTACCTCAAAGGGTTTGAAAAATACAATATTTTCCAATTTTGAATATAACGTTAAAATGGTAAATCCACTATCTTTTAAGATGTCGCAAAACAGGCAACGTGGTTCGATAGAGAATTGTTTGCAGCCGCTTTCGTTTATATCTTAAAGAGTTCGGCATTTTTCAATCTCTTGTCTAATGATCGGCCGTTTCTATATCTTAAAAATAAATAGCGACTTTACCGTTTTAGCATTATAGTCATAATTAAACAATGCCGTACCATAGCAGAGAACAAATAATTTTTTCGAATTGTATTAATAAAATAAAATTTGTCTCTAAGTTGGACACTGATAATTTTCTGTATCATTTTGTACTTCACTCTTTGAGGAAACGAAATAAAGTACAGACAGGTACAAACAGGCATAAACGAGGTACGGGCTTAATCATTAATTTTCATATTTTATAAAGTCTCCAAATTCACATACGTACGTGTTATAAAATAATTAATTTCGTTGCCATGATGTACCTCTGAAGTGTGTTGTAACTATTGTGTATAAAATGTCTCAATTACTTTCATTTTTGTGCAGTAATAAAAATCAGTTCGTATTATGATTCAATGGTAATCTTTTTCCTTTTTATACCGTGTAAAAGCAAGTTACTTTAATATAAGTAAGAAATAAACTTTTCTCCGACCGAATAAAGTAGTTCAATACTTTTATGTAGTTATCTACACATAAGTGATAAGTCTAGTGATAAGACGATAAAGTCGTAGTCATAGAAATAACCATTATCGCAATTCTATACTCTCCGTTGTTAAAAAAATATACTTGATATACAATAGAATGTAGTTAATTATCTTTGTACCGTGTAATAATATCAGTACTCAACCCAACAACGGATGTTCGACAATAATCCCGATAATGGAGCACGCGTTCGGGAAGATTGTCGTGGCGAATGAGGGTCTGCGCTTAATAAAGTTTATTGGGCTCGATGTTCCAGAAAGTCAGAAGCGGGCGGCAAACCAAGCAGCGGGGACGACTGCAGGGTATGCCGGAAGTCGTTCGGCCCCGAGGAAGTTTCGCGAACTTGTTGCGAGTGTCAACATAAGGTCTGCGAGGACTGCGCCTCGTATTCGACGACAACGAATTCCGACGATCCGGTGGGTCTGCACGCCTCCATTTTTAATTAACCGGCTTGTTCATTGTTTTCCGCTGGTAAATATTGCCGTAAAACGAGATTGGATGGCGTCTGGGCGCAAATTAATTGCCGAAACGGACGAAAGAAAAACACAAAAGAATCTAAAGAGAAGAACGAAGGCTTGCAAAAATCTAATTTCAAAAATAACATCGTAATTAATCGTGACATTTTACCGTATTTTCCTTCAAATATTTACTTTTTAATTCGTACGTTATATATAATTGGAACCGCTCGTTCCTTTGACATTTCGTATTAATGATTGCGATTTTTATTTGATTTTCCTTTTATTTGTCAAAAGGTCGGTTTTTCTTCCCACTTATTAATAAGCAATAAACTTTTACGTTAACATGTCATATTTCATAGAACGAAATTGATGTCTATAAGCGACTTGTATTTTATGCACATGTAAATAATAATCGTTTTATATAACTTGCGTTTTTTATCAAGAAAAGTCACCTAACATGAGATAGAATTCGAATATGAGCGCGTTTTCGATATCCAACTTCACGAATCTTTTCTCGCAACGATTACACGTACGATCTAACAATGAATTTCCCACTAAACAGATTTCACTCCAAGGGCACAAAAGTTATGCTGGTACCAATAGATGATGCTTTTAATTTTATTAACATAGAAGAAACACTGCTGTCTCATATTAGGAGCCTATTTGATAAAAGAAAACTCCAATCATACACGAGACAAAAAATGTTACGTAAAAATATTTATATCAAAAAGAATGAAGTGGGTGACCGCTTCGACTTATGAAAGTTCCTAAAAATATTCCAAGACCAAAGACCCATTGTTTGCATTCCATGCGTAAATGCGAAAGGATTAGTTAATTGCAAATCCATAATGACAAGAAACCCCGAAAATTCTCGATGGCAAAAATGAACAAAAGTTTCCTAAAAGTGCCAAAACTAACATCAAGTAGTATAAATCACATCCAACTTTGCGTTTCTTGCTAATTCTCCCTCTTTCTCTCTGAGTTTTGTCGTCGAGAATCTCTGCTTATCGCCCCCATGAGCAGCGTAACGCCCACAAGAAATTATCGCGAGGAATGAGATCTTTTGGGACCTCCCCATCCTCCGACTATTTAAATTTTTTTTTCCGAAATCACTATGACAATTTATTACGCTCGCTCATATAATTGTCCACCTCAAACAGTTTTGTGTTAATAATTAAATCCACGAGGAGGGAAGCAAAAAGCAACCGGTACCTTCGTGGCTCTAAACTTTCGCACTATATTATCATAAACGCGAGGATCTAACAGAAATTTATTCACGACTCGCGCGAATTCGCCCCGCGTTTAATTGCGTTAAAGATTAATTGGTTTAATGGCGATTTTGTTTGCCCTGCGCTCGCTTATACGCGTGATGTTGATCGGGCGTTAATTCTAATTACACGCGTAATTGATAAATTCAGTAAATGCGCGCAGCCCGATCGCACGAGATTTAATCTCGCGCCGGATTACAATGGATGGCATGCCCTTGCACGACATTCCTGCGGGCAACCCAAATTCGGTAGAATGTACGTGATCATTCGACGAGTCTATTCATCCCGTATTTCTATTCATTTCTAGCGCACGGCATATTTCCGCGTGGGGTAACCTAAATTCATTAAAATATACATTCTTCAACATCTGATAAAACCGAACCTCGTATAGAAATATGGCGTATGAATATGATGGAAATGCGCGCATTTAGTGAAGTTGCAGATTTGCACTTGCGCTCCATTCATTATTTTTGACGCTCGTGCGGTAACGGTGGAAAGAGAGAATGGCTTGGCTTTTATCAAGTATGCTCAAATTCCACTATTAACTTCGCATATTATAAATAAAATTAAAAAAACAGGTCGAGCATAATACGATTATACAAATATTACACATTAAATTTACACAGTAATTTTCCAACAGCAGAAACATTTACAATGAAACTTGATAATATTTGTGCGTTTGCTACATGTATATTATTGCTTGTCGAAGTAAAAATAATGCGTTTTATTTCACGGAAAAACTATATATACGCTTTCCAGATTTGTAATAAAATGTTTAATTGCGGATTAATGGGATTTTCTTTCAATCAATATAAATTAAATGTTTATATTTTATCTTGGCCATATGCTTCCGATATGTTGTGTTTAATTTGGCCAAATTCCATCATTAGTTTAGTTCACATTGCAAATTTCGAAGTAGCGTTATTCAATCTGTTTGTCTTCAATTCTAAGTTTCTATTAAATAGCGCAAACATACGAAAATTGATAGTTCAGTCTTTCAAATTGGAGAGCAATATGTCAATATTACACGCAAGCGTATTAGTGATAAATGATAGCGTGCACGAGTATAGATTGCTTTTTTTTTCTGGAAACGCGTTGCAGTCTTCCTGGCGATGTAGCGTTTGCCGCCGAAAGATCGCCTCGAGGGACCAGCCGATAGTGACACAGGAATCTACCGATTCGATGCTCGACGTGCCGAGCTTGGAGGCTCTTCACAGGCGGCACAGCGACGCCCGACTCGGTCCCACCGGCAGTCAGATAGGCGCACTTGGAAGCGGACTGGCCCCGCCGCGAAGTCCGGAAATCCGAAGACATTCTGACGTTTCGCCAGCTAGTCTTAAAGAACTGGAGAAGGTAGGCATAAACTTGGCCCACGATGATATATCTGCCATTGTAATAGCTTTCCTGAATTGGACGATTAATCGAGAACAATGCAAATGGCACAACTACAGAATGTGACCCGATCTTTCTCATCGTTTTATCTTACAATGCAAATAGATGAATAACTATTCCTCCAATAGCAGTTTCGATCTAAGATACATTAGATAACAACTTTGTAGAAAGGATAATTTGCATTACGGAATAAAATCGTATTGACGGAGAATTATCTTAGTTTGTTTTACGACTACAATGTAACTTTTCTCTGAAACGGTGTTTCTTGATACATGTATACATGTCATCAGTCTACGTGAACCTTTCCTTACTTGGCAAATAATTAAAACGTTTAATTTCGTGAGATAAAATTAATTCTCTTGCGATAAAGAGACGGGGATAAAATTTGCAAAATGGAAAAACAAAAGGCCACGCTTTACGTGCGCACTTTTTCAACCGGCTTTCGATGTTACTCACGATTTACTGCCGCACGAGATTCCCTTTTCCCAGCGAGGTGTATAATTCAACATCCTACAAGATATACTGTTATGCGGGAGAATATTCGTGCAGCCATGTTTGAAATTAGGGTTGCTGAATTACCGCTGCCAAACGAGTCAACGTATAATATGCTTTGAGTGTCCGCTTGAACGCTTTAAGCTACACTTTGCTGTTATCTCAAATGCATACACCATACTACTCGTCGAGATTCTTGCACGCCATCTACATTATGCAACAAAGTACAGGTCGCTCGTCTTTCAGAGAGAGATTTTGAATTATTCCGTTCCGATTGCAGTCCAGAACGACCAAAAGAGGCGCTTCTTTTTTTTTTTGCTCAAGTCCAAGCGCGGATTTTAAATTGTACCTCTTTCGCACTTTCAAAATGTCCCTGATTACGTAACGCAATTTGACTCTCGTTATAATATCAACCCCGGCGATATTACTCTACGTAAAAATTGCGTGCAGAAACTAGATGAATCGCAACCTTTAGTGAAGTCATTACAACATTCATTCCAAAATATTTAATAAATCGATACTATGGAAGACAAACACCGCGTTAATTGAACTTCAATATTTTTTTTAAATTTAGATTCCTCTTTCTTCTTTGACGAAATGGAAACAGTATCACTCGCAGCAATATAGCTCGGAGTTAAGACAGTAACTACCAGACACCTAGGATCAACCGTCTCACTCCTTACGCCCTTTATGTTCGACTAATTTACGGTAATTTACGAGAGGTCGTAAATAGCTCGGGCTATCATATCGACGATCGTCCGCGTCACGTGTGGCTTTAACGAGGTGCGCTTCCGCCGGTGTCGGGCTCGACGCGGAGCTCGACTACTCTCCACGAGATCTCGTTGCGCGTAGATCGTGGGTGCACTTGTCACGCGAACGGAGCACCCGCAGACACGCACGCGTTGCACGTTGAGAAACGAGTGCACACCAACGCGCATTCCCGTACGTGTGCGCAACCGAACTTCTCATTGCCCGACACTCAGACAGACAATTATCGGGGGGCGTAATTAACGCGCGACCCTCGCGTCGCGATCGTAGACTTCGAGAACCCGAACGAAGGCGTATCGTAAAGGCCGGACGGACATTTCACGACCCCGGGGTACGGTCTGAAGGGATGATCTTGCCATTCCGCTTCCTCTCGTCGCGACGCACAAGAGGAAACAAGCTGGCAATCTCGCACTCCGCTTACTGATATTTGTTACAGATAGTTTATTGCTGAAATTTCTCCGGCGGCTTCCTTATCACTATATTGCCCCACATTCTACGCTCGGCAACTTACTTCGCGTTTACAAGATATGACATTTACGCGAATCAATATCCTTGAATTTATCGAAGCCTCGGTTATTGATTGCCGCACGGCTCTCTAAGGCTGAAAGTTACATTGTGCCAGCCGACAACTTCGTAGCCGCGGTAGACGTCTCACCTCGAGAATTTATCGACAGTCGTTTTTGTCGCTTGGCAGAATAATCGGATCCGTGCGCGCGCGGGCGGAAACAGCGGCGGAAACGAAAGAAAGTGGAGTGAAATTGAAATGAAGAACGTGTTTCTGTACGTCGGCAGAAATAAGGGGGTAAAAAAAAAAACCGGCGGATTCGAAAATCTCTGCGGTCTCGCATCCCACAGAATCGCTACGTAAAGATGTCAAGACGTCATAACTTTTATTACAGAAATCGCCCTTTCTACGTTACGTTCGCGTCCCACGCTATCTCTTTACCTCCTCTCGGCTTTTAATTTTCGCTAAACTGATCCGTTCTTCGAGCTCATATATATTTTATAGTGTACAACACGTAACTTCTCTCGCACGTTCTCGTGATTGATCGTGTTCTTTTCTAAATTGTTCAGACAGAATTGAAATATTTCCACTATTGCTCAATGAAATGTATAATTAATCGCTTTCAACTCACTTTCCTATCCGCGTCCAACTTGCTCGGGGATACATCAAGTAAATTGCTTAAATCCTTTTTTTTCCATGAAACAACGTCTAATTTCTCTGGACAGTCAACGCCGTTTGTTCACGAGTTCGAGAGGGGCGGATTCGGGGTCGTAAATCCGCTTTGTCGGAATTGTCATGACGTAATGAAACACGTACTAAGAGCATTTACGTACGTACGTAGGCGTAGACACAAGCCCGAGGGGAGACGTCTCGGATTTACGACGGCAAACGCTAATTCCGGAGTTTATCGCTCGCTCTCGCGCGCCCGTCCTCCCGCGATACGCCTCGCTCAGCGAGAAACGCCTGGCGCGTTTATCTTCCTCGCGGTAATTGTCGTTGACGCTTTTTCCATCTCGAGATTCAATCCACTTCGGTGCCATTCGCGCGTCACGGCTGCCGCTTTCTCGCGAGCTGAAACGGTCGCATGATGGATGCAACTGAATGACTGCAGTGCCGCCGGCGAAATTGCGGAAATGCGATCGTGATGTTCGCAGCATGGGGCGAAAAATAATTATCGAACTACAAAGACACCTAAGTGATCTCGCGATTGAAATCCGAATAGGTTCTAAATTACGTTAGTGCGAATAGCGTGTTCGATTTAAAAATCAACATTTATATTAATACTAATATTCAATAAAAAAGCTCTGATATTGCTTTGTCCCGAGTTTACGTTGTTGCTACAATTTTATTAATCTCGTAAGAATACGCAGTTGAATTGGAACGTGCGACTTTGGCGATTGAAGCTTTCTTTAATTAACAACATCGAGTTTGTTTGACCGTATCTGACAATTTTTATGTTTAAGACTCGCTACGTTTCGACCATGGGTTTTGGTCCTTTTCAAGCGAACTGACTAAACAAAGTAGGAGAATTTCAAAATTAATACATGAAGTGTATAACAAGGTCCGAGGTATTCAATCGACAGTTAAAAGAAATTACATCGTTAAAATTGTTGTACACTTCATGCATGTATCAATCCCAAAACTCCCCCGCCTCGCATAACTCGCCCAAAAAGGACCCATGGTTGAAACGCACCGAGTGTCAAACACCAAAACCGCCAGACACGGCCAAACAAACCCGATGCTGCCACTTATTGCTGGCGACCCTGCAGATTATTCTTGTTAGTTTCTCTAATTACTTGGCACAGCCTTGATCTAAAAATCGCAACACACTCTCTCACGCGACTATGGATGCAAACGCGTCTGCATCCGGATTAAAATTGCATTTGGCACTTGTGTGTTTATACCCAGGCGGCCTACATTACGGCGCTAGCTTTCCGAGCTACCTACATGCACTTAAACGTTCCGGCTACGCCTATTGGATAATTTACAGCCGGCTGAGCATCCTGAGTGATGCGCAATATGCAGAGTATCCGCTACACATCTCCGTGTCACGCGCGCCTCGCACTTCGAAAATCATCGGCGTACACTGTCGGCGCGTGTTACATCGTGATGCAAATGGCAACCTAGTTTTTTCTCGCTCCCGGATAAACCGCGTGGTTACGATGGTGGGGCGGTAATGTGGTTTCGTCAAGAGGAAATTATCGCGACGTGCGGAAGAGGAATGACATCTTCGCGCTACACCCCCGTCGTCGTCATCGCGTTAAAGTAACGTTTTCGCACGCCCGCGCGCAGCATCACCATGAATATTTATGCGCGCGACAGGTGCTCGAGAGCGGAATCGAGCCCCTGGCACATCCACCCGCTGCGAGCAGCGGCGACGGAGCGGGAAAGACGTGCCCGGCATCGCGCGGCCCCGTTCGTTGCCCTGACCCTAATGGAGCCTTAATGCCGAAACCCACTCGAACTTGGTCGACGGCCGGAGGTACGCGAGCGCCTCACCTCGCTTTAATTGTTGCCGATGTGCAATTATGCCGCGCGCCGGGATCGCGTGACGAAACCGGGACGAAGTTAATTTTCGGATGTGGCCGTTTCATTATTATCGCGAACTCTCAGCCGTGTTTCCGCGGTCTTCCTTCTTGTTACCACCCGCAAGCGTGTCGGGGACGCTATTAATTTTCATTATCAAAGGGCGCGCCGAGCTTCAGAGCTTTCGTGTGTCGAGCGAAATGTCTTTGTTGCAATCTGCCGATGGGCCCCCCCCCCCCCGAGTTATTTTAGACCCGCGGAATTAATTCGTATCATGTTGGAGCACGGTGCAACCGCTCGTTTCATTTACAGAAATAATCCATTACCTTCTAAAACAGCTCTTAATTCCAAGAGCAATCAGAGAACGCGCGCATCATTTAGCACGTAATTTAATCGTTCAACGAATTGTTAATCAACAGGTTTTAGATAATATACTAGGGAAATGTATATAATCTAAAAGAATTGAAAAACTTTGTTGAACGATAGATTACCGTATAATTATTATATTTATTTCAAATGTATTCAAGACGAAGTACAGAAATAGAAACGCGAATAAATTTATTTGTGCTAACTCTATCTGTGCTAACGTGGCATATTGATCCGTAGAAAATTCAATAGCTCCTGCAAATCTGAATAACGAATACAACAGCACAGCTTCGATCATTCGTGCAACCACAAACCCCCGAGTTATAGCTGATCTCTGTGCGTTGATCTAACTGTCAGCTTTTAGGTGTCAATCTGTGCTGCCTACTAATCTTGTACTTGCACTCCCCGCCCGCCCTTGCCGTGTTGTTGGGGATGCTTGGACTTCCTCCCCGCCCTTACTCACGGCCTACATGTGGTGACGTTTTCCGCATCGAGCCCTAATCTCTGTATCGTAATGTTGTAGTTTCGAAAGGTTGCAGGAGAACGGCAGAGAGAGGAGCTCAGATGGGAGCGCGACCTGGACCGAAAGAGCAAGTCGAGGGGTGGCTCGCCCGATCGCCATCAAGCCTCCGATAGAGGGAGAGCGACCAGCCCTCAGAGGGTCGTCATGCCAGCCCAGACGGGCGGTAAGGATCATTTTACTCGTTCGTACGAAATATCTGTTGCTCCTTCGTACCACAGATGTCACATTTCGCGTAACGACCGCGTGTTACGATACAATCGAAGAAATAAAACATTATGCGGCTTGTTCTTACGAAATAAAGACAAATCTAATATAATACATCGTCGTTACTATCGTGTGCTGTAAAATACACAGCTGAAAAATTTGTGTTAAATTTAACAGAAATCACATATCCCAAACGGTCCACACAAATTTTTGTGTTACTTTAAATGATCACATTAATTCTCTGTTACTATTGTATTTTAACACAAAATAAATGCAAATCTCAAAATAATTTGAAATCAATTTTGTGTAAAATTAACATATTTTTAATTACATAATGAATTTTTACATTTTACAGATGTAATATTATAAGTCAAATGACAGTTCGAAATCACTGTCACTTATGTTATATAGAATAAAATCAACATTTCATTCTGCAAATTTTAACACATAAATTTTGTTACTAACAATACAGAAGATATGTATTGTGTCAGATTAAAAAATAAGCACACATTGTGTGGTTTTAACATTTCTTTTCAGTTGTTTTAATAGTTTTACATTTGAGGTCAATCAACACAAAAATTTTAACCAACACTTTTTTTAACAAGAAACCAAATTTTCCAGCTGCGTAGGCTTACTTTTGTTTAATTTGATTATTATTTTCATGAATACGTTCTCAAAAGTTGACTTCGATCTCGAACATCATTGAAAAGTAGTTTTCAATCGTGCAAAATTGTTTTACGGCATTGTTGTTTTGGACAATTTACCACTGCATCGCTGACCATGACAACAGATTCTCAATCATTTCTACCGCCAGTCAGTCGAGAGGTATTATTTAAGATTAAGATAAGTTGAAAATTTCGTTCTACAATAACCGCGTTAGATAGCGTCGCCTTTCAATTTACTCGGAGCGTTAAATCCTAACGTCATCTTTCAATTTCCTTGATAAAGCAGCCGAGGAAGGCGGTGATCTGGACGACGAGGAGGAACGTCGACGTCGCGCTCGTCGCGGAGGCGGTACGGTTCGCCGTAAATCTCGCGTGACCAGGCAGAGGTCTTACGATGATGAAATCAAAACAGCGGCCGCGATGGCTGCCGGAGGGACACAGCCCACGCATCCCGACACCGGCCTAGGACTTCCGGTTCAATTACCAAGACGAGCGTCCGCCTACGATGTTTACGCTGTGCCCGGAAGTAGCGGCCTTAACGCGATGGCCATCGCCGCCGCCCAGCAAAGAGCCTCCATTTCGGCGCAAGGTGCGGTTCAAACGATTCATTGCGATTCATGACAATTTTTGGCTTTTTCATTTTCGAAAGCTCGTCACTTGAATTTAATTCCACAACGCACGATGACCTTCCCTCTTCACAATTATTTCATTATGAAAATTATCTGCAGCATATTTAATATGAAACAGATTGTTTAACGGCGAGTGTGGCGCAGAGAAATGTGCGCTGCTTAGTAAACAAATGAACGAAAAGACTCGAGTTCAATTCCACGGACAGCGCTGATTTTTTCGAAATCTCCCGAAGGGAAGTGGCAACCACCCCGAGACTATGGGCCTGAGCAGAATGGCTGTCTTATACTTTTAAGACAGCCTTAAGACAATGTCTTATGTTTTAGGCCTTTGTCTTGAAGGAACGCACAATAATTGTCTTACGTCTTAAAAGTACAAGACAGCCATTCTGCTCAGGTCCCATCTTGCCAAACGTACACCTTTAGGAGTATAGCCCTCCATATGAAAGGTTTCCTTCGGCAAGGGTAGCAGCTTACCGAAGATGAAGTAAAACCAAATGCTCCAAGTTCCAGAACGAGAACTGGATAAAACAGGTTTTAAACCTAATACACGAGAGAAAAGATTGTTTAATAATTTTTGAATAATTCTTAAAAAAATAGTTTTCTTTTAGTCTCGCATAACTAATAGAAAAATTCGCTTTCAGTTCATTCGACACAAAGTACCATGCGTGTTAGAACTAATATTGCTCATCGCACGTTTCTACTTCGGACCTAAAAAATCGAAAAAATTTCGGGTGAATCGTTCCTCAGAAATTTCTCCAAAATAACAGGAGGCATTTATATAGATTACCGTGTATTACACGTTTTTACATACAATTTCGCGTGATTTCTCTCGTTAAAGCCCTACCTTGGACCTCCGGGGTTATTCCCGGGAGAAACTTTAGCAACCGGCTCTTTGGCGAAGGCGCCGAAATTTCCAACTTCTCCTTCGCTTCCCTCCCGATAGCGAGCTGGCAACACGTGCTCCGATTTCTCCGCCACATATTGCGCGTTTACGAGTTATCGCAACGGTATCCGCGGCAAGTTAGAGAGGGCTGCGCTCTAAAGGACCCTAAGGGCGGCAGGAGCCTAGCTGCCGGCTAGGATAATCAAATAGACCTTGTCGAGCTGTAATTCTACCCAACGTATTGTTCGTTCTGTTCCGCGGCTTCCTGTTTTGTCGTGGAAACAATTCGCTCCATTACGCGAATGCGGGCGTTCTGTCCGGTGTTTCGCTATCAAAGGCAAGCAACTTTGAGGAAATGAGTAAGCCGATTTTCGCTAAACATATTTTGACCACAGTAATGCGGCCTCGTCCATTCGCTCGACATTTTCCGCCGCGAGGAACGGCTCCGTACAGTGTACACGACAGGGACTCTCGATTTGCAACATTTTCAAACCGCGACTTCCATTTCAATTAACTTTGCGATCCTCCCAGGGAGGACTCGTTTAATTTAAATACGGTACCTATCGTGTTACGCAGCATCGAGGGAAAACTTCTTGGTGAAAATTTCTCGCGATACACCAACAAATTGTTGGTAACCAACTGTTGGTGAGAATACCATTAAAATGTTCCGCAGGGAACAGTCTTTAAATAGCGACCGCGCGAAACTAGTTTCAGAATTTCCATTTTCATGCATTCAATTCAGTCCCGTCTGTTGGACGTGTGTCGCGTAACCCGAGATACATTTCTGACTGTGTAACTTCAACATTGCCGCGCGCATATTACCAGCCTGCGTGATCGGAAGCGCTAAACAAGCATCTCAACTCGACACAGAAATTCCATCGTTCTCTTTCCCTTCCTTCCGCGCTCTATCAAAAAGCTCCGCACGCAGCGAACTTGCAACGAACTTTCCGTGGGAACTATTTCCGATGCGTCACGGAGAAGCGTACGGACGTAACGCGGTTTCAAAGCCATCAGTACTCATGCATGTACGCATTGATCGGCTATTCGGACGCTTCTAAAATTTCCATTTTGCTGAGCGCAACGTGTTATAGCCCCAATTCAATACTTGACCTGATGTACCTCGCCAGTCAAATGCTCATGTTGCACAAAGTAATATTAGATACAGCAAAATAAACATTGACCAGCCAAAGCGAGTTTGGCATAAATCAGGAAATCAAGCGAGAAATTCCCTATTCGAAATAGTTTCTCGGCAATTGTTGAAGATATCATCGCATTACTTTAATACACATTATTGTCACGTTACTATTTGGAAACACAGAATGAACGACTGTAATACAGGTACAACATTTTATCTATACGTGTCTTTCAATGAAAATTTTATCTTCACAAAAATTTAATTAGCGATTCTTTTAGAACTTTTCAGTTTTCAATATTAGGAAGCTTAATAAAAATTGAAGCTTGTTTAAAAAAAACTAAGATTAAAACAACGAAGAATAAGGTTTAATTGTCTACTTCTAACCGCGAGATTAAAAAGTCCAAGTTTTTGAATTTCTCGTCTCTCGTTCTCTCTTCTAATCTATTATAATGTTATTTTAATGTTGATATTTCGTTCGCGCCTTTTCTCTTCGCAGTCAAACATCAATACCCCTATTCGAACAACCCGTATATAATGTGACCTGTACTTGTTTCTCTATGCTGCAGCCAAGAGCTGAAAACTCCATTTCCTACGTTACAGAGAGGAACAACATTGGCATTCGACCCGCATCACACTTTACTGTGAAAATAACCATTTTGACTATTTTATTTCTTCCGAATATGTTTAACTCTTTCACAGCCTGTGTAGCGACTGGATATTTTGACATTCTGATATCGCGTGTTTCGTTGTTTCTAATCCAAAAGAAAATTAATATACCAAGTATCTCTTCAAATAGAATTGATTTTACATTCGTTCGTATATTCGTATGATCGCTATGGTTTTCCTCTATCGCATTTCAATGATTAATAAAAACATTTCTATAAAACAATTTTTTCACTTGTAGATGTAAATGCCAAAACATTTTATCTATAAAACTGAAAGTCCCATATTATGAGATAGACTCCTAATATGAGACAGAGGAGTTTCTGCAAAATTAATAGGCATCGTCTGTTGGTTCCACCATGAATTTATTGCCCTTGGAGTGAAATCTGTTTGGTGGAAAATCGATTGTTAGATCGTGTAATCACTGCCGAAAAGATTTCTCATTGAATTTGGACGTTGAAAACCTACTGTCTCATAATAAAAGACTTTCCTGTATCTATACTATCTATAACTTGAAAATATATTTTATAGCCTTTCATCCCTTCGGACTGCATTATTAAATCCATACTACTCTTTCATCTCTATTATTATTACATCAGCGGGGACTCCATTATTCAAGGCGATTTACTCGCTATAATAGGTCGCATTTAATATTTCACGTATAATACGGTTGGTCTGAAAACGTCGTTTGTCGTCTGCTTCTTCACAGGCACCCGAGAACCTGAAGAGCGACCTACAACTCGCAGGTCCTCCTTCCGTGCCGTGAAACCGGTGATGCCGTACGACGTCGCGGCCGACGATGAGAAGATGATTAAGCTAGACTCGTCATCTGCACCTGCGGTGGCACCGCCTGTGTCCCAACCCGTTCTTGTACCCGACGAAGAGAGACGTAATCGACGAAGAGGCTCCCAATTGTAAGTTACTGTTAGCGCTGTTATATCACGAGGATTCATTGTGCAGGCTTGCAAAAAAGCCTGCACCATAAATCTCCTATTCCACAGTATAATGCAAATAAAATAAAATCCATTTCTTATTGCGAAGCTAAGCCATTTGGCTTGAAGTAGCCTGTTAAAAACTTCAATGAAATCTAACTTGACGTTTATCACGTGATAATATTTCTCGTGGGATCATTTCTCATTTCGTTGTATATTAAAACTTCATATACAACACTGAACAGTTAAAAAATATGTTTAAACCCTTCCTCATCACATATTATGTTTAAGCCATCACTTATGTTTACGACGTCACGATGGACAATGTAATTAACTTCAATAAATTTCAAATAACCAAACTTAAAAAGAACATAATAAATTCTTTCATTATTTTAATTAAAACTAATGGCGAGTTTTTCGACCAATCCCCCCAGTAACTCGTTCAAATTTATTATTTTGACTTTGTCTAGCAGTGGAAATGACGTACGGCAAATCTGCCAATTTCAATTTCGTACTTCAATTTCGAACGCTCATATATTTGCCTTTTTTCTGCCACCGGAATTTTGACGTCGAGGTAGACATTTCGCCTCGCAAAAGTAATTTAAACTTTTACACTTGTCTACTTGTCAAAAGAAATCTAGTTTTCACTTTGTCATTTGCAAATCAAGTACTTCCTATTCAAAATCAAGCAATTTAAACTTTATTTCTGCACATATTTATCAATTCTTTTAATCTTAGAAAAATAGATTAATAAACGCAACGACTTCTTCAATTGTATAAAAGATTTTCTAATTACATTCTTAAATTTAGAGTCCTGAATAAGAGAAGTACAATCAGCGTCTCACTTGTGCTGATTGACTCGTCGCTATTTTAGTACTGTGCTGCACTAGTTGCACTATTTCAGCTGCGGGCCAAACATGGCGACCATGAAAAGCGCGGAGGGGATAATAATTGCGATTGTCTTATTATTTAGGACTCTACTTACTATAAATTAATTGCAAAAAATACTTTCCGATAAAAAAATGTTTTCAATATACACTTCAATTCCCCAGAGTAGCTTTCTCATTCTTCGAAGTCACTGCTTCTCTCCAGTTAAGTGCGTTTAAACTCGTAATTGAAACTTCGCATTTCAGAGAATCTGGTTAGTTTAATAATGTCAATAAAATACAAGTTACTTGCGTGGAAGCCAAAAGTTGAAAAATAAACCGCTATATCTCGAAGCAAATCGTTAAAATGTTTCTTGAGCGACGTATCTATGCTGCGGAAAGTTTTCACTATACGCAAAAGTTGGTCGTATCAATTTTTATTATAAAAGAAATAATTCGAAATATTTTCAATATACGAAGTATCTTGAAACAATCCCGACACACGTACGCACGCGTATCCAGAATATTTTCAGTGAAGGATTTTCACATTTTCCGCACTGATATTTCTTGACGTGAAATGAAAGTCCTGATATGTATCGGTCAGACGTAAAATACGTTCAGCTTTTACAACGGCGTATTGTAACAAAGTAATATAAAACGTGGTAGGCCCGTTCAATCTACTTTGAGAAAACGACGTAATTGCCCTAAGGTTTACGTCTCATTGAAGCTCGTTTGCACCATCAAGTTTAAATTAAACAAACTAACCTCAGCGACTCATCATTCGTTTCTCGCAATCTTAATAGCGGTGCGAGCGAGGGAAATTTTACTCGTTAGCTAAATTTAACTTCAATCGATCTGTCTTAACACTTTTTTTTTTAGCGAAGTATCGATTCGCAAGCGACGAAAGATTCCGATATAGAACCGAACGAGCGTTTCTCTTGTATCCGTTGACGCGGCGAAAATAAGGATCGATCTTGTCGTCTGTGATTTCTCCGCCACACCACGACTCACTCTATGATTGTTCCTTTTTTTTCACCCCCAACGAAAATGCATGCAACGTGTGCTGTAAGTGCATATACGCGTATCGCGAGCAAGAGGTCGAGTGGATCGCAAACAGGGGAGTTTGCTACTAGAGAAATAATTAATACCACCCTATCCCCTCCCCTCCCCTCCTACTCTTCGTTAAGTGTTCGCATTTACTCGCGTGCGAGCATCTGTGGTTCTTGCCAAAGTTGAGTTCGGAACTGTTACAATTTCGGAGAGCTTAATTTTCCACGTTATAGAAGGTTACTCGAAAATGCAGTACAGCAAGCTTGCGATATTATCCATTCGAGAGGCTCGCGTTTACGATGCAATACTCAAAATGGAAAATACGACGAAATCGAACCAATTCAAAATATTTTAACGGTAATATCAGAATTTTTATTAACCTTTTCATGATCGCATGATCCTTCCATTTTTTGTTGTTGTCAAGTTTCCGTTTATATAAAACGCTTTTTAGTAACAGAATGTATGCTAATTAGTTCGTTACGTCATATTAAAAAAAAATTTGTATAACTTTTAAACATGGTAATTTGACATCAAAAATCCTCTCTTCAGTTTTAAAAAATATACCCGCTAGACGGTAACGTGTACTATAAGTGGGACACTAGCGTCCCAAGGAACTAAAGGGGGAAAAATGTAAGTGAAACTTATATGACCCAGTGGTCATAAAAGGGTTAAATAGACGCACACGCAATAACGTGCTTTTTACTCTTCTATTATATTTTCATATTTCTGTACTTTTACTTTAAAATTATACTTTGAAAAGAAACCTTGCTTTAAATGAAAATGTTAACGGTTTAATATTATTTCATTTAATATTATTTACTTACCGCGTTAATATCTAAAATAAAACATGCGATTGTCTAAATCCGTTAAAACAATGTTTCTCCTCTTATATATATCCGCGATTAAAAACCATCAATCACTGCTGATGTAAGTCACATAATCGCGGTCAAAGATTTCATTGTGCACTTTCTATGTGTGGAAGGATCGAAAAGACCCGACTTCGGGGGCAAGTGTCATCCCACGGACAGGTTGTTACGCTCATACGAAGGAGTTGGGGGACGTTTGGCGGGAAGGGTCGCGCGTTATGTGATATATCGCCCTTGTCAAAATTGGCTTAACCTTCGTGATCCTTCGCCGTCATCGTCTTTTTTCCAGCCGAATGAAAAAGTTCGTGAAAGATGACGAGTTAAAGTTATCAGTCAACGTTATAAATCATCTAGATCGCGTAATCGTTATTATTTGGTAGTCAGATACCATTGAAAGCCAAAGCTGTTGTACAGTTTTGGTGCTTACTTTAAACATATTGATTACTAGATTATAAAGATATTGGTTATTAAAAATCACATTATAATAAGTAATTTTGCTTTTTACAAACACTAGAGTATACAAAGCGCACACTTCATTCTGGAGCATTATTTATTTTTCTCGACAACACTTGCAACTTGTTCTCTTAAAAACGAACTATTTGATACACCACTTCTTAGCTGTCGAAATTCAATTGCTTTGCTGCTAACAGCTATCTCATATGACGAAGTGAGCTAAGCGAGAGAACCAATCAGCATGGCAAAAACGAGGCAACGATAAACTTAGAAACTTTTTTGAGTCCTTTAGTACATTCGATTTAACAAGTCTTTGTTTAGAAATTGATGCTATATTTAGTTAACATTTGTATAATAACATAGATTAAAAATAGATTTTAATTGGAAGATTTGCTTCCCGAAGCGGTTTAAAATTTAGATTGCATTGGGGTCAAGTTTTTCAATATTTTTTCGCCACATGTTGTTGCGAGATTGATATACTAATTATAACTTAAATGCTTTCACATGTATAAACACTGAATCTCTTAAATATTTTTCTAAAACAGACATAATGTCTTACGGACACGATATCTTTGGCAGACAAAATATCTTTTACAGACATGGCGGCTCTTGCAGACTTGGTCGTTTGCAGACTTTGTGTCTTTTGCAGATTTGGTGTCTCTTATAGACATGGTGTCTTACAGATATGGTGTCTTAACAAATATGTTCTACGGATATAGTGTCTCTTGTAGATCGAACCTCTTTTATATATACACTAGAAAACACAAAGCGTCATTCATTCTTAGACATTATATATCTTTATCGGCAACAACTTGCTAAGTTCTCTTAAAAACTTGTTTGGTACACAATCTCTTACACAAAAATTCCATCGTATCGACATAATATGTCTTTCTTAGAGATGGATAATAAATAATTATTGTAGATTAATGACAGACATTCATTGATTTTAATATTTCAAATTCTAATTAAACGAATTGTAGACGATTTTAATTATTGCAATTTGTTCGTGAAACGAATGCTGTACAAAGACTTGTGATTATTATCACACCCAATTTCTCCAACGTGCCTTCATTTTTGCCATCTTACTTTCAAAAATCGTTTCACGAATACCACGTGAAGTGGAATTAATACGCTTGTTTATCGAATGTGATAAGTTTAAACCTAGAAGAAATGCACCAAAACTGTCTCTCGTAATTTAATCTGATAAACGAAGCATACGGTGCTTTCCAAAATACACGGTCCCCGTTTTTACGCTTTCGAAAAAGAAAGTCGTCGATTATTCACGATCAATGTGTACTATCTTAAAGCGGCACCATTCGACGACCTCGATTTCGAGGTGCCTCGGCAGACCTGCTAAATCGAGAGGCGTGAGGAGCTGCTATTAGAATTAAAACAAGCGCACGGCACTTTTCCTTCTGATTTATGTCGGCTTATATCGGCGAGACGTCACCCTGCCGAGAGCAACGTCGGAGTAGAAGCACACTTGCGCTTTAATGCGACCTTGCTGCACTACGTCGAAATTTGGTCGTGCTTCGAATGCTTGCATCGGGTGACCGTGCGCGCCGCACCAACCACGACCTAGGTATCGTCATCTCGGTAAACCGCCGGAAATCAGGGTAAATCGCGTCGGTAATTCTACTGAATATCGCATGTCTTAACTGGCATACTTTCCGTTGCTGCTAGTGAATTTACAACCCACCTCACGCGTCTAGTAAAGTTACCCCGCCTTTCTCTCGCGGTAACTTCG